CACGAGGCCACTCTAAAACAACGTGTGTCCCTGCGTCACAATGATAAGGTCATCAAACGTGAGTTCAAGATCGGCAGCCTGGTATTACGAAGAAACCAGAAAGACTCCCGCAAAGGGAAATTGGCCGCGAACTGGGAAGGGCCCTATCGCGTCCACGACGCCACAGGCACCGGGGCATACTACCTCTAGCAGCTAGACGGAGAACCATTACCACGACCCTGGAACGCTGCTAAACTAAAGCAATACTATAGCTAAAAACCCTTAAACACTAAGGACTCTTGCCGTCGAACATCCACATCTAGTCAACAGAGAGAAATGTCTCGACCACGTAGATAGGCCAAGGTACGGGCCCAATCTACGCCCAAACGACATAACTCCGTTCAGCCAAACGAGGACGAACGATGATGCCCGACAGGGACACCTCAATCGAGCTCCACTATCGAAGTACCCACATGGCAGAACACCCAGCTCGCGATGGGCAGTTCACGCTACGGGCATACGACCTCGATCTGGGTCATACGCTCGACAGGCGGGCTTCACTCCGCACGACCGATGCATTTCGAAGTACGTCGAACCACCAAATGGGTCGAAAGGATCTCCACTCGAGGATATAACTTAGGAAAATTTCGCCACAAAGTGAAAGTCGAATACAAGCGTGACTCGAGGACATAACTTAGACAAATTTCGTCACAAAGTAAAACGTAGACACGAGCAAGTTTAAAGTTAAAATAAATATCCATTTAAAAGATCATACATAAAACGAATAAAAATGAACCGACCAAAAAGGCCGGCGATGTTCAGGGTTACAAGCTACGGCACAACGACCAAAAGAAATAAACACGGGCACGCAGGCCCCAAAACAAATACCAATAAGCGGGCACGCAGGCCCGACCAGAAACTCCACGTTAAACGTTCCCGGGACTACCGGCATCCACCACAGGAGACTCAGGAGGAGGCACGACCTGGCCGTTAATAATCTGAGACATGAAACCCACTCCCTCGGTATTCATGCCCAGATTCAGTATGGCGAGCTGGCTGACCGCGGCCTCGAACCCATCTGCTAAAGCACCGACACAATCTGTCTGAAGGAGGTGGATGCGCGCGACCAGATCCGAACGGGTCCGCAAAGGAGCCGTCTCCTCTGACTCATCTTCAGCGGGAAGCATAGCAGCTTTAAGCTCTTCGACTTCCTTAGACAAACATTCATTGTCAGCCTCCAAGCGCTCCTTGTCCAGTCGAAGGCAATCCCTCTCCTCAGCAACCTTCCTGGAGTTTTCCTTCTCCCCCTCCAGCAGGTCGGCTTGTTCGTGAAACATTTCCTCGGGTCGCTCGAGGGCTGCCTTTAACTTTCGAGAACTGGCAGCGAGGGCAGCTTTCTCCGACTCCAACTCCCTGACGCGATCCGAGGAGTCTGACCCTTCCTCAGCAAGGACAACGGTCATCTTGGCCATCTTCACCATCCCGACCATACTGGCGGCCAGGTGTTTCCTCCGGCTTTCTTTGTTGAGCCGTCTGATAGTCTCGGCCTCGTCATTGCTCACCGTCAGAGGAAACCCCTCGAAGAAATCTTTCTCTTTGAAACAGGGGGGTAAGCCGAAGGCCCTCGCAGCTACAGAATCGTCGCCAACCTTCGACCTATTATCTGCCTGACTTCTCTTTCTCGTAATCAGCTCAGTGGGTTGTTCAGCGTCAGGGGAGCCCGGGGACCCACTAGAGGCATCGCCCGAACTGGTCGGCGGGCCCATCCTCGTGGCTTGTGGAGCTCGCACCAGCATTTTGTTTACTTTCTTGTCCTGAGTCAGTTTCAACAGCCTCTCCCATCGTTCAGCCATGTCGCCTGCAAAGAAGAGCAAAACTCGGGTTAGTTACGAGCAAGCAAAAACAACGAAAGTGAAATAAAACAATAGTAAAAGCAAAGGCAAGAAACCTAGTAGATCTACGGCCTGCCCGTAAGATTGGCACTCGACGAGCGCCTTGGTGTCGATGGGACGGGCCTCGAATGTCGGGTACCCATCCTCGTCAAGAATATCTTCCCCCTCCCTCGTGACCCACCGGGCAGGGAAGAAGTTGTCGACATACTTGCAAAGGATACCATATGCTTCTTCGTCCTCGGAGCTCATGCTTCCCGCGGGCGTATGATAGTACCCGGTGCCATGGTCGTAATGGCCCGAGCACCAATCTATCGGGAACTTAGATATGCGCCCCACTGTCGGACGACCCTCGGCGTCCATGAGGGGCTCCCCGTCCTCGTCGACTATCGCGGTTTCCGGTTCGTACAAAGAGTCCAAGGCAGTCTGGGTGACCGGCTGCAGAACGTACCACTTATCCTTGAAGCCCCAGACCGAATCCATATACATCCTGAATAGCCTCTTCGACTGTTTCAGGGATACCCAACTATGCCTGCCTCCTCGAGACTGACGCTGTAGGTGAAAAACCCTGAAGAAAATGGGAATCATCGCCCCGATCCTCAAGAAACGGCATGTCAGCTCGAACGCCCAAAGGAAGGCGATCGAGTTAGGGTGAAGCTGCAAAGGAGCCAAGTTCAGATGGCAGAACACCCCGGCTTAGAAATCGCTGAAAGGGAGCTTGAGACCGAGATCCCTGAACATGATCTCGTACATTGGAAACCCATACTCGGTAAACTCCGAGCAGATTCACGCGTCGATGGACGGCCTCATCACAACAAAATTCTTCTGGAAACCTGGCTGACTACCGTTATCCTTGACGACAGTATATGCACGCCGACTACGCCGACAGTACGCCGAGGCAATCCCTCGGGGCTCGGTGCCCACCCAGTCCAACGCGGGGTCATCGATGGTATCAACTAAAGTCACGTTATCTTCGGTACTTGAGTCCTCGACTTCGTTTTGCCTCGAAGATTCCGATTCGTCGGCCATTTACCTGCAAAAGCACAGGAAACCGGTGAAATTTGAGAGCAAATCCGCGTGCTCGCCACAGAGACAGGAAGTAGTACACGACAAGCCGAACACGGCCATCCCAGCTCCGACCAGGCATCGGGGATAACAAGGGAGTAGCGCGAGCGCCCCGGGGAATAAACATGAATAACTCGAGCAAGGCCCTGACTATGCCTGCCCGACACTAAGATGTTGCGACGAGCTATCCTACATACTTCCTAAGGGGTCAACATCCCAGCAAGCTCATGGATACGCCGACCAAAACTATGAATGTGACGGGCAGTATCATAGATCATATGCCTAAAACTACGAATGTCACGGGCAGTATCATAGATCATGTGCCTAAAAACTATGAAGGTCACGGGCAGCATTGCGAGTCACGTACCTAAAACTATGGGTTTACTGGGCACAGTCACGAATCTACCGGGCACTACTCCCAGATGTGGGTTTCTAACATCCAAATAACGTTAAAACTACCTACAACAAAGAAAAACAGGAGGAATGAACACTTACTTGGAAGAAAAGATGAACGTACGGCAGCGATGGGAGTAATCAACGGAGGATGGTGCGGTGATCTCACGGCGTTGTAGAAAACGACGGCGGCGGAAGCAGAGGAAGAAGGAGAAGCGCAAAGAAGAAAAACAAATTATGGGCCCCAAGGATCCTATTTATAGGGATGACGTGGAATACGAAACTTCGCCCCGGGGAGCCGCGAACTTCCCCTCCTCGACATCTATTCCCCTAGGCAATGATGACCCTATTGTCACTAGGGTGGCGTCACGGTTCCCAAGGATTGCCTCGTGTATCCAACAAACACAGCCCGCGAGGAATTCCCCGAGCACGCGTCGACGAGGATTACGCTACGAACGCAGCCCGTCAGAAACTCCTCGAGCACGCATCAAAAAAGCAAAATCCTGGTCCAGGCATCAGATCCCCGTGGTAAAGGCGAGCTAAAGTCAAGTCATAACTCCTGCTCCAGGAGCAACGACTTGGGGGGCTCCTGTTCTGGACTGGGCCCACCCTGGCCCAAAGCACAGATAAAGGCCCAATCCAAACAGACTCCTCGAGGAATGCACACCCACGGATCACCGCCGACATGCCCGACCATATGCTATAGCCACAATGCCTGCCATTGCCCGCGACACATGGTGTCCCCGACCAAGGGAACTCCAGCTCGAATCCTGCTCGAGCACCCTCCCCGTAGGGCAGATTCTCTCCATCCTGACCGTTATCGAATCCTCTAAAACTCCAAAAAGACCGCGTCTTCGTCCCTCCTCATTCTTCGCAGAGCACCACCAGGAAGGGGACCACGTGTGGGGCCCCACTACGCACGTAGAACCTGACAGTTCCTTTATTGGGTCAGTTCTGGTCAGCCCAATAAGAGAACCTTGGCCCAGCGCTGGGGGCTATAAATACCCTTTGTTCCCGGAGGGTCGGGTATTCATCTATTACGCACCTATACACTTTTTGTCTGCTCATTTCGTCTCTCATTTTAACATTGAATTGTCTTGCAGATACCCCTCCATCTCACTCAAAATCTGCCCGAACCAGTCGTGACGGTCCAAGTCTGATCAAGTACGATCACTGTGAAGTTAAGTTTTCAAACTAAATGATAATGGTTCAAATATTTATCATTATTGTTCTAATATCTTGACTAAAAAATAAACGTAGAAGATGGCAAATACTTTCAAAAATCACATAGCAGAGAGATAGTTAAAAATGATTCTATAGTAAAATATTTAAATAAGAGAATGAAGTTTATCTTCCATTCCATTATTTCATTCAATTTTATTAATTCTGTTTTGCTCTGAAATTACTAATTATGCTATATATATATATTTTTTCTATACTCTTGGAAATACGATTTGTTCATAAATTTCTAATATTTTTTATTATCACGTTGAAAGATGAAAATCTAACATTTTCATAATACAAAATAACCAATCATAATTTTTCACTCTCAAATTATTTTAAAACATTTATAAAGCACTTTTCCACTGTAAAGAGAGAAAAAAAAAACCATGACAAAAAGTTGTAATTCTCTAATTAATAGTTATTTTTGCATCAGTAGCTATGTCATTATCTTCAGGAGAATACACGTCCAAAATTCGAAACCTCTGTTGGTAACTCAACAATTACTCTAAACAGCCTTCTCGGACTCCCAATCGGTTCAGGAAAATACCAACTACCCTCACCCGGTTCTCCTAAACCTGAAACAGAACCCGGTTCAGTGTGAGAGTCGACCGACACCGGTTGGACCAGAGCTCGGCAGAGAGGACAATTAGAGTGAGAAGTAAACCATGCATCGATACATTGGTAATGAAAAACATGGTTACAATTTGGAAGCATGCGGCATTCATGGCCGTCGGTGTACTCTGACAAGCAGATAGCACAGTCATGAAGAGTGACAATGGAGGAGGAGTAAGTGAAGGTTGGAAGAGATTTAAGAACAGAAGAGTCAAGACGTTCTTCAATGAGAGTGGTGGTTGTAAGAGAGTTTGGAGAGGATAAACGGCGGTTACGGAGGTAGAGGTAGTAAGTGTGAAAGATGATGAGTAAAAATATAAAGCCTATCATGTAAAGATCTGTGTAAGAAGCCATAACAGTGAAAAGAGAGAGTGGCATTATAAGCATAAGAAGCCATATGCGTCAAATTTATTTCATACATGGAATAAATAATATTAAACAAATTCATTACTTGAATTTAGTTTGTGTTTCGGCTTTTATTAAAAAAATATTATCATAATGTTATATTTTTCTATTTAGTAAAATTATAAAGAATTTCTTTTAAAGATTTTTAAATAAGAAAATATTTTTAAAAAAATTTTAAAATGTTATATTAGTTATTTCATTATTTTTCCATAATTTTTTTATATTAAGATTTTAAAAAATTACTTAAATTTAAAACTATTAAAATAGTTTTTATAAAAATTATTTATTAAAATATTTTTTTTTTAAATTTGTAATTTTGACTATTATTTAATTTTTAATAATATATATTTATATTATTTAATGTCAAAATTAGTTTATTAATTCATAAAAACTGAGTTTAAAAAAATATTTATTTTAAAAAATTATTTTTGAAAAAAAATTATTTTCTTAAAGTTTAAACAAATAGGTCTTTAAAATTCTTATTAAATAGATTGAATATGTAAAAATGAATTTTAAAATAATATGAATTTTATCACATCATAAATCAATTTTAGAATTCTTGTGAGGAACATATAGAAAAATCTTTTTTTAATTTGTAAAAAACATTTAAAAGTTGTCAATCATTTATTTCTTGACGAGGTGGTGTGTTATGGTTTTGTTGGCTTTCATGTAATAAAATTGTTTAATCCTTAAATATAGGTGTTTTAGGCTGATCATACCATTGGTGATTCGGCTCACTCCTAGAGATATGACTACCATAAAGAAAGAATTCTCCATATTGATTTGATTCATACATGATCTTTTTTAAGTCCGGTCACTTCTGAGCGTAACATTTCAAATCTAGTTCAAATATTTACTAAAGCTTTTGAAACATTCTCCTGACCACTAAACCTTCAGTAATCTGGAAGCAAGAGATTCATCCCTCCAACTATCGAGCGGGCATCTGCATTTTACGCAGAAAAGTTAACAAGTTAGTTATTCGACTCCTTTATATATGCGGATGGTGTCATTTCAAGTAACAAGTTTCGAACACAACTGGAATACTCTTTCATGATTCACATACTGACTTGAGCGTCAAAGTGTTAACCATGTAGATACACCCTTCGTTCTGTCGTAACATAAGCTCTAATCAGTTGTTGCTTCCATGACTATACATATTTCTGGTTCTAATACTGATCAGTGGTGCCGTCTGTGGGAAGCGACACTTGATTCCCATGTATCTTACGATTCCTTATTTCTAAGTACATTCCTCAGACGTGAAACTCTTATGGACTTCGAACTAGAGGATTCAACGGATTGAAGGAAATCAGGTTGCGGTCAATAAAATCAAGTTTAAAACCGATAAAGAGACAATGATCCATCAGATCTTAATCACTTGGTACTTTTGAACGTCATTGATTCGTAGAAATGGCTGGATCGAGAAGCACTCGTTCTGCCATCGCACGTGAAACCGATTTGGCAACTGCTAGTGTGGTTCCATCAACCACCAGTTGACCAAATGTTACTCCTCCTACTAGCCAAGCAAACCTCAATAATGACGATCTTCAGCAACCAAACGTGATTCTCCCTCTACCATGGGCGAAAACAATCTAAACATCGCCACTTCGGATTCCATATCCAAATATGTAGCGGCCTGAGATCTCGTGAGGTTTTGGAATTCTTTAGGCAAATCTTGGATCTCGAGACACGAACAAATTGATTAATGACATCTACAACATTGTTCAACAACAAAACTATAAGACGATGGAAGAAAAGTTATTTCATTTGGAGGAAAGCCTATTAGACGTACAACCCCAGACAAATATAGTACAAGAAGCTGATTCACGAACAAATCAAATCAAACGACCAGATCTGTCTGCAACAAAAGAAGAAGGAAAAGTCTAGAAACAGAAAGAACACTCTAAAGGCAGAAAGCTTAATTCTCCCATGGAAGTCTGGGAGGAGGCCGAAGGAGTTACGCTCCATCCCTGGACTGTAATGAACATCAACCAAATCGAGCCCAACCTAAACATCCTCTATGTGCTCGATTCTTGGAGAGCAAAATCTCAATTTTCAAGAATTATCATCATCTCCCAAAGAGAAGGGAGACATTACTAGCATTTAACTCAAATCCTTTTTCTGACGCTGCTCCATCAAGATACTTATTCTTTACATGCCAAATATTTACATATTTCCAAAATCTCAAATTCATTTCATTATTTTCTTCACACTAGGCATTACTATAGCTAACAACACTGAGTTTGATAAATGTACTCTTGCTGAAGAAATACCCTTGTTAAGAAAATGAACTTTGTTGGAGAGCAGAAGTCTGAAGGGGGTTTTACAACCTTGGAGGAACAAGCTCAGCTGGGGAAGAGAAACTCCATGAATTGTACTGATTGAAACTCTGTAGGTAGGTGATATTGCCAGGAAGAAGATCATACTCATTTATCCTCCAGAACGATTTGTCGGGGAAATTATGGGGATAATCCATGGAAGTGATTCTGTGGGGATTTGTGGACAGCTTAAACTTTGTCCTAACTCCCAGAGTCTTGAGTAAATTCTTATCAGGGTGATAAGTCTTCTACTAATAGACAAGTGACGAGATGATGGGATATAGTCGTATACTTTAATCCCTATCTTTTACCTGGACTGTCCTTTCAGATTTTCAGTCCACCGGAATACCCCTTTTTGCCCAAGCCGCCTTTTCAGGTTTTCGACTTGTCGGGTGTACATTTTTATTTATATATCCCTAATTTTTGCCCGAACTTTTTTGGTTCGCCGAGATGCCCTTATTTTGCCTAGGTCAGTCAACCTAGCGGGTCTTTTTTTCATGCGTAGTATTTTTTGACTATGTCCGCTTTCACAGGGTGCAGAGAATTGTCACTGTCCACAGTAGTAAGTGTTGTAGCACTGCCAGAAAAAATGTTTGCTCGATCTTACGTGATCCTTTGCTAGAATTCATGTTTAATGCCTCAAGTGATTCAGATGGAGATATGCCCCTGGCTATTCATCACTTTTGAGAGATTCCTCGAATCTTGACTCGACTGCCCCCAGATCAGTAAGACACCATGTCATGCCCCTTGTAATTCAGATAGAGGTCTACCCCTGACTATTCAGCCCTTTTGAGATATTCCTCGAATCTTGACTCGACTGCCCCAAGATCAGTTAGATACCATGCCATGCCCCTTGATTATGAAATGCATGTTACTAGAAATGTCTTTCCAGCTGAGGTGATTTTGTCCATTGAGAGGATTTCCATTCTTTGAATTTCCGTCGTGCAAATTTATCTATTGTCGAACGATCAGTCATATGCAAATAATGGCATTTAAAGAATGAAAAGCTTATGTCTCTCTTGAAGTTTCAAAAATGCATTTTTAGTAAACAAACCGAATTTTGTAAGAATATGAATTCAACTCAGGATTTATAGTAAACCTTACAGGAGTCAGGATACCTTTTGTAACAGTATGCTTTCAAACTAACCCACGCTTCAGCTAGGACTTTCAAGGGTTGTAGCGTAGCCTGGTTTACGGTTTAAGAAACAAAGGATAAAGGCTCAAACTTTATTTGTATACAACTCGTTCTTCGTGATGTTCTTTAGTCATATACTCAGTTAATTGTGCGTTTAGATCCCAATTGCGTCTGGAATCTTTTTCCTGATATTATGGTGATGGTTCGGATACTGAAAGTTTATTTTAGAAGGAAGTCATCATTTTTTTTGTAATATTTTTTATTGAGGATTCATAGAGACCTCTTTTTTATTTTATTATCCCTACCTTTTGCCTGAACTGTTTCTTTTGTGATTATAGTCAGCGGGATGCCCCAGTTTTTTTCTTAAGTCTCCTTCATAGGTTTTGACTTAGCGGACTTTTCTTATGAGAGATAATGACTGCCTGTTTTAATTATTATGTGGAACCATCGCCATATTTTGTTTTGGAAGGATACCTCTGACACTTCTCGTCATGTACGAAGGGAAAGCTTGCGATTGAGTGCACCATTGAATTAACTGAGAAACTACCCTGCCCCCAGGTTATGATTAAAGGTTTCAATTTGTGTGGAAAAAAACTCCTACTTCTTAGGCTCAAAGGAGTTGACTAGGGATTATCTTCCTTATAACTCCATTATTTAAGATTTAAAACAACTCCTTTACATCGTCAACAAGATCTGTTCCAAAGCATACTGTAGAGATTATGGTATTATTTTCGTCATCCTCCCTCTAAAGGCTTATAGCTTTTAATCGAGAGTTGAATATCATAAAAAGGAACTAAAAGAACAATTTAAGTATAGTGAAAACAAATGGACTAATTCAAGACCAACATATGCAATGCATTAATGGAAAAAACATAGTTTAATATAAAATAAGTGTTTGAATAATCAAAAGAAAATTACAATTTGAAAATTCTAATGAACAAAAAGCCTTTTCGTATGAACTTGTCACTTCAGATGGTGTGTTTTTGAGATATGGCAGAAGAATTCGGTATGACAATCTTGTTTGAACTCCAGCATTTCTTCGTCAATTAAGTCCTGAATCTTATTTTTCAATGCCCAACAGCTATTAGCGTCATGCCCCAGACTATTGGAATGATAAGTGCATCTCACATTAGGGTTGTACCGAGGAAAGGCGGTGTTGGGATTCTGAGGAGGATCCTTCAATGTTATCAACTCCATCTTCAACATGTGTTGCAATACTTGAGCCGAGGACATGTTGATTTTGGTGAATTACCTTTTGGGCACGTCCTACTTACACTGATTTCCTTGTCATTGTTGTTGTACTGGTGATGGACTAGAGATCCACACTTCCCCCACAGATTGGTTGAGATCACTCTTATTACGACCCTTCTGGTCGTACACGGTGCTGGACTCCTTCTTTCCGTTGTATGATCTCTTTTGAGTACTTGAAGATGCAGTCCCCTGAATTTCATCGCTCCTGAATTTATTTTCAACGTCTTCCCGCATGAACATGTCACCCG